CACACCTGCGCACGGCCTCCTCCCGCCCACGCGCACACCTGTGCACGGCCTCCTCCCGCCCCCACACACCTGCGCATGGCCTCCTCCCGCCCACACACACCTGTGCATGGCCTCCTCCCGCCCCCACACACCTGTGCACGGCCTCCTCCCGCCCCCACACACCTGCGCATGGCCTCCTCCCGCCCCCACACACCTGCGCATGGCCTCCTCCACCCGAGGGCCTGTCACCGTGCTGCTCACAACGTCGTCCAGCTGCATGATGATGTCAGAGCCTAAGGGGAACAAGACACAGAGACCCGCGGGTACCACCACCTCCTTGCCATCATCCTAATATGGCTGCACAGAAGCTAGGGAACTTTTTTGTGCTCTTTTTTTCTTTCTTTCTTTTGTTTTGTTTTGTTTTTTGGGACAGGGTTTCTCTGTGTAGTCTTGATGCCTGTCCTGGCTCTCACTCTGCAGACCAGGCTGGAACTCACAGAGATCCGCCTGCCTCTGCCTCCGGAATGCCAGGATCAAAGGCGTGCGCCACCACGGCCCGGCTTGTTTTCTTTCTTACATATGCCCTCATGGGCCCGTGAGATGGCTCCACAGGTTAACGTGCTTTCCTCCAGGCCTGACTACCCAAGTTCAACCCCCAGGACCCACATGGTGCAAGGTGGAGACAATTCCTGCAAATGACCACCATGGATCCCAGGCTGTTCTCCAGCTCCCAATCCCCCTGCCTCTGCCCCCACTGTGCCCAGCTTTATAGGGAACTGCTGCAGTTTTACCCGGAATCTGAGGCTACAGCTCAGCTAGTATAGTCCAGCACACACAAGGCTTCAGGTTCCATCCCCAGCACTGCATAAAGTGGGTGTGGGGGTTTCGGCCTGTGGCCCCAGCCTTCAGAAGGTGGAGGCAGAAGAATCGGGAGTTTGAAGTTGGGGGCCAGAGTGTTGGCTGCTCTTCCAGAGAACCTCGGTTAGTTCCCAGAAGCCACATGGCAGCCCACAAGTTTAAGGGAACCTTATGGCCTCTTCTAGCCTTGGTGGCCACATACAACACACAGACACACACGCAGGCCAAAATACTTATATACAAAAAATAAATAAAATAAGTAGACATGGTTGGCACAAAAGAAGCAGGAAGATTCCTGTGAGTTCCAGGCCAACCTCGCCTGCATAACAAGATCCAGGGCAGTCAATGATATATAGTGAGATCCTGTCTCAAATCCAACAAAAATAAATAAAATCTTTAAAAAAAATATATTTTGAGGAAAAACAGAACTTAAGGTCATTGTTAGCTACATAGAGCTTGATGTCAGCCTGGACCATGAGACCCTGTCTCAGACAAGATGGAGGCAAGGACTAACATCAAGACTCACTCTGTCTCCCATGCTTGCTCTGTGGTGCAAGAGCACACACCAAGACAGAAATAAACCGCGGCCTCCCTTAGCTCAATGCTGCTTGTTGACAAATCTGACACCCAAAGGCTTACCAAATCAAAGACTGGAGGCCTGGGGCCGTGACTCGAGGCACAGTCTTGGCTTGGCATGTGTGAGGACCTGGGTTACACCCCCAGCTTAGATAGATAGCCAGACAGATTTAGGTGGAATGACAAAACAGATATAAGGACTGAAGGACAACTAGACAGACAGACTATCCCAGCCTAAAGTCATCTGAGAGAAAAGCCAGCATTAAGGAATTTCTTAGATCAGACTGGCTTGTGGCCACATCTGAGACTATCCTGATGAATGGCTGATGTGGGAGGACCCGCCCTCTAGAAGCAGGCTCTCTCTGGGCAAGTTATGCTGTGCTGCATGAAAAAGCCAGCTCTGAGCTGAGGAGGCGGCTTTGTCTTTGAGATCATGCAGTGTTCTTCCTGAGGACCCGACTCCCAGCACCCGGGCAGGCCAGTGCTGTCTGTAACTGCGGGTCTAGAAAATATACTACCTCAGGCGCCTCACTCACGTGTGCACACAAACACATAAGTCAATGTAATAAAAATAAGCCAGGCGTGGTGGTGGTGGTGGTGGTGGTGGTGGTGGTGGTGGTGGTGGTGGTGGTGCAGCACACCTTTAATCCCAGTACTCAGGAGGCGGAGGCAGAAGGATCTCTGTGAGTTTGAGGCCAGCCTGGTCTACAAAGAGAGTTCCAGGACAGCCAGGACTACACTGAGAAACCCTGTCTCAAAAAACTAATAATAATAACAACAATAATAATAATAAATCTTTTTTTTTCAGAGCTGAGGACCGAACCCAGGGCCTTGCGCTTGCTAGGCAAGCGCTCTACCACTGAGCTAAATCCCCAAGCCCAATAATAAATCTTAAAGCAAAATAGCTAACTAAGCATGAGCCTGCGAGCAAGTCAGTGAGCAGCGTTCATCCATGGCTTCTGCTCTAAGACCCTGCCTTGACTGCCCTCAATAATCAACTGTGACCCGGAAGCATATGCCCAATCAAAATGAATCCTTTCCTCCTCAACTTGCACTGGTCAGACTCTTTTATCACAGCGACAGAAAGAAACTAAAACACAGACAGATGGATGACTTTTATCAAAACCAGATCTAGAGGGTAGAAGTCAAGTCCAGGCTGAGCAACAAAACTACATTCTTTCTCCAAAAACAAAAACCAAAAAGGCAGAGCCAGACGTGGGTGAGCATGCCTGTAATCCCAGCAGGAAGAGAGGATCCTGAGCTCCAGTGCGGCCAGCACAGCATTGGGAGATCCTGTATCTAAAATCCAGAACTGGGGCCTTGGTGCAGTGGTAGAGCCCTGCCCACAATCCCTCCGTGACGGATAAAACCTGTGAGATGAATAGTCCCTCTCCTCACTAACTTGCTGTTGGTCATGATGTTGGCACAAGGCTCCAACATCACTCAAAATCTGCACAGTATAAATTGTCCTAGACTGTAGATCAGCTCAGTGAGTAGAGGGCTTATGCAGTGTGCCAAGAGCCCTGGGCCTGATCCCAGCTCAGTATAAAGCCAGGCATGGTGGCATTTGGCGGTAATCCCACCACTCTGGATGTGGAGGGAGGGAGGAGGATCAAGAGTTCAAAGTCAACCTCAGTTAATAAGGCAGTGAGTTCTAGGCCAGCCTAGACTGTGTAGGACTCTGTCTCAAAAATAAGACACAATAAAAATATAAACTCCTAGATGAAAAAAGGGGCCTACAACAACTCCTTTCTCATGCTGTTGCCACTATTATTTCATTAAATTTGTTACTAGAACAGTAACAGCTCGGTGTGGCGGCGCGCGCCTTTAATCCCAACACTCGAAAGGCAGAAACAGGCGGATCTCTGTGTATTTGAGGTCAGCCTGGTCTACCAGGCTACAAACAAGTTCCAGTCCAGTCAATGCTACATAGTAAGACTGTCCAAAATAAAAACAATAAGTAAATAAAGTAACAACAATATGCATACATATGAAACGAAAACAAATCAAAAAAGGCAGCTACATGTCCACCACTGTGTTCCCACTGCTGATATCACGAGTCAGAGATGGAAACAGGGTCTCACTGGGAAGCCCAAGCGGGCCCGGAACCCGCAACAATCTTCCCGCTAGGCAGCCACCGCGTGCACTTATTTCTACGTGTTGTGTTTGCTGTGCTGGGCCCAGCACAGGACCGATTCGTTATCCTCATTTCTGCGGGGTGGATGAGTCCCAGTTCACAGACGTCCCAAGCCGCACGCGGCGTCTCCGCCCCCAGGCCAGCAGCGTCTCTTACCCAGCGCGTTCTGTATCTCCACAGACCTCTCCGGGCTCAAGAGTGTCTCTTCGCCGTCGTAGGGCGAGCGGAAGCGGACGCCCTCCTCGGTCACCTCGGACAGGGAGAACAGAGACACCATCTGGAAGCCGCCGCTATCCTGGGGGGACCCGGCGGCGAAGCTGTCAGGGGACGGAGCCCGGGGCCCTCACCCCAACCTCGGGCGGCGACCCCAACTCACCGTCAGCAGATTGTGGGGCCAGTTCATGAAGCCGTGGAGGCCCTGGGCCTTCCTGATCAGCTCCGGGCCCTGGCGTGCGGGAAGAAAGGCCCGGGTGAGGCGCCCGCCCGCAGCTCCCCGGCCCGGCCCGGGGGAGCCCGCTCAGACTGACGGTCAGGGAGGCGCGTCCCGGCCGGGCTGCCCCCTCGCCGCCCACCGCGGGATCGAATCCACCCACCGGCCTCAGCCCCAGGTGGTAGGTGTTGCCCAAGCAGATGCGGCAGCCCAGGCTGTCCAGCTGCTCCGCGGTGATGCCCTTCATGGTGGCCTGTGTTCCCACCGGCATGAACACCGGGGTGGCCACAGTGCCATGAGGCAGCCGCAGCTCGCCCGCCCGGGCCCCGGAGCGACTGCACTCAGCCACCAGCCGCAGGATCCGCGGAGCGGACTCCAGCGAAGCCGGGCTGCCCGCCGCCGCCATTTCCGGCCCCGGAACCACGTGGGCTGGGACCACAGAGGACAGCGCCATGATGTCTCGAATCACGTGACCTGCGGGCTACGGGGAACCATGGCAACCGACGCCTACCTCCACCTCACTCTGGGGCGCGCGGCTTCCAGATCCCACTGCTGGCCCTTTGGCTGGGTAATGGCTAGATAGCGGCTGGGCGAGCGGAGATACACGCCGCTAAGCCCGATGACCTGGGTTCAGTCTCTGGGACCCAGAATGAGGACCGATTCCTGCAAATTCGTGTGGGCGGACGCACAATGAATGTAATTTAAAAACACGCCAAGACATGTTTTTCTCCTGCTGTATACAATATAACAGCTTGTTACGATGACTCAACTGGAACCCCAAGGTTTGTGAGGCTGAGCAAAAAGGATTGTGTGGAGAAGAGAACAGAACCAACACAGCTTTGATGCTAGCACTGGGAAGGCAGAGGCAAGTGGAGCACTGTGAGTTCAAGGCCAGCCTGGTCTATACAGCAAGCTCCAGAACTTTTTTCCAGGGGAAAAAAGACACACCTGCAATCCTAGCACTTGGGAGGTAAAGGCAAGAGAGTTAGAGTTAGGAGTTCAAAACTATCCTCAGCTGTATAGTGATTTCAAGACCAGCCTCAAAAAGCAAAATAGGGGCTGGAGAGATGGCTCAGCAGTTAAGAGCACTGGCTGCTCTCGAAGAGGACCCAGGTTCAATTCCCAGCACACACAACCACCTGTAACTCCAGGTCCAGGGGATCTGATGTCCTCCTCTGGTGGTGCACAAACATGTAAGTCAAATACTTACGCACGTGCGCATGCACACACACACAACTTTACAATTTTAAGTAAAATAAAAGTTAAAAGCTGACATGCATAAGGCTCCTTTCTGGCTGGCATGCATAAAGCTCTGCGTTCTTCCCCAGCACTCACATACACACAGATAGAAACAGCATGAGAATGGATGTATCATACATGTAGTCCCTAACTAGCCTCTGTCATACTGTGTTTTCATCATTCATTCATTCATTCTTTTTTTTTTTTTTTTACTTGTTTGTTGTTTTATTTTTCAAGAGAGGGTTTTTGTGTGCAGTCGTGGCTGTCCCAGAACTTACTTGATAGACCAGGCTAGCCTCAAACTCACAGAGATATGCCTGCTTCTGCCTCCTGAGTCCTGGGATTAGAGGCATGGTTCATTCATTCATTCATTCATTCATTCATTCATTCACTCAAAGAGCTTAGAGAAGGACCCCGCGTTCAGTCAAGAGCTCAATACACAGTCATTAGCTATTTTTTCAAAGGAATCCTAGCATTACAAAAAGAACCCTAAAGTCCAGAAACTCGTCCCCCACCATTACTTTATTCACTCGGTGTGAGATGTCTGAGTGTGTGTGTGCTCACGTGGGTGTGCATGCTCGTGTTTCTCCGCACCAGCCCTCTCCCTGAACATAATAAAGCCAGGCGAGTTAACGTCAACATAAAGCAGATGTTGCCTCTGCCAGCAGAGGGCACCATCGTCCCACATTCCCAGTGGGCTGCTATGGGGAATCTGCTCTCCTGGGCAGGTGTAGGATCTTAGCGCCTCTACCCCGTGATAGGGGCTAAAGGACTCCAGCTTCCGGAAGTGGTGGGACTGGGTTTAGTCAGGCCGCTTCCGAACACCAAAGCTGAAGTGTCCCTTGTGTTCGTGTAAGAGCAGAGGCCAAAGGATGTCGAATTCCTGCTCTGTTACGCTCCACTTTAACCCCTCGAGACAGTCCCTCCCTGAACCTACAGCTAGGATGTCAGGTAGCAAGCCCCACTGATCCTCATGGTCACCACCCCACCTCCACACTCACAGTGCTGGGGTTACAGTCAGAGCCGTTCTTAAATGTTTACACTTATTTACATGTGTGGGTGTACAGGTGTAGTCATACACACACCCACACACTTGCCAGGACAACTTCCAGGAATCAGTTCTTTCATCATATGGGTCCCAGGAAGTCAAATTCAGATTGTCACCTTAATGTACTGATCCATTTCCCTAGTCCTCACACGAACTATTTATGGGAAAAAAAAATGTTTTCCAAACAGGGTCTCTCTGTGCAGCCTTGGCTGTCCTGTGTACTGAATGCATGCTGTGCCTCTGGTGGGGGAACAGGTGTGACTCCTGAACTGGGGTTACAGTTGTGAGCCACCATACACATGATGGGACCAGGACCTTAAGGGCCATCTCTCCAGTCCTGTATTGGTTATTTTTGAGACAAGACATGGCATAGTTCATGCTGACCTCAAATTCACTGTGCAGCCGAGGCTGATCCTTTCACTTTTTTTTTTCTTTTTTGTCAAGACAGGGTTTCTCTGTGTAGCCCTCCCTAGCTGTCCTGGAACTCACTCCATAGACCAGGCTGGCCTCGAACTCAGAGATCCACCAAATAAAGGCAGGCACCACCACCAAGCAGCTTGCCTCCGTTTTTTAAAGTGCTTAGGATAACCACCATACCTGGCAGTTTTTGTTTTGGTTCATCTTGAGACAGGGTTGCAATCTGTAGTCCAGGCTGACCTCTCACGTCAGTTTCCCTGCCTGCCCAACCTCCAAGTGTTGGAATTACAGGTGGAAGCTGCTAGAGCCAGCGTCCATGTTCTACGTTTTTGACAGGGTCTTACCCTGTAGCCCTCCCTGGCTGTACTTGAACTCAAAAGCTCACCTGCTTCTGCCTCCTGAGTGCTGGGACTAAAGGCGCATGTCACCACACCCAGCCCCCTATGCTATTTTGATGCACTCATTAGGCTAGGCTGGCCAGTGAGCACAAAGGACCTGTCTTGCTCCCAGTAATAGACTATGGGAGAACATTGCCGTGGTCTTGCATATGCTGTGGCTCAACTCAGGACCTTGTGATTGGTTGGTAGGTTTTACAGGCTGATCATAAGAGGTGACTACATTATGAAGAAGGAACAGAGATCTTTAGATAGCGGTTTTTGGTTTTTGGTTTTTTTTTTTTGTTTGTTTGTTTGTTTTGTTTTGTTTTGTTTTGTTTTGTTTTTCAAGACTGGGTTTCTGTGTAGCACTGGCTGTCCTAGAACTCACTCTGGAGACCAGGCTGGCTTTGAACTCAGAGATCCACCTGCCTCTGCCTCCTGAGTGCTGGAATTAAAGGCGTGTACTGCCGCCACTGCCACTGCCGCCGCCGCCGCCGCCGCCGCCGCCACCACCACCACCACCTGGCTCCCTTGCTTTTCTTGGGGTGTGGTCAAATGCCTAGTAGCAGTTTAAAGTCACTATGCCCAGCTTTGATGGTTTTGTAGCGCACGCTGGCTTCAAGATTCTTGGGCTCAAGTAAGCTTATTCCTTCGCCTCCCAAGGTCCAGAATCACAGAAACTAGAAGTGGGCATGGTGGAAGGCCAGCTTGAAGACGGACCTGGATTTGGTGCAGAGGCTGGAGAGTGCTCTCCAGGCAGCAGGGAGAAGGAAACGTCAAGAGTGGCTGGAGGGACTGAGGGATAGGGTAGAGGGCAGATGGCACAGCTGTGCGGCCCTGGGCAGAAGACACAGGCTTTGTCATGGGGTAAGTGGGCAAGGGAGGAGCAGCGACTTAATGCCATCAGCGGGAGGGCTGGGAATGCCCGGGGCCCTCCCTGTAAATGACATCATGGGGAGCTCAGCTTCAGCACAAGGGACAGCGCCAGGCTTGCTGCCAGGCGATTGGAGAAGCTGCGGCACAAGGGGCGGGGCTGAGGCCCAGGGCGGGGACTCCCGTGAGTTTAAAGCTGGCTGGGTTCCCAGCGCGGGAAACCCAGGAGTTACCTAGGAAATCCTGAGCAGGGAGGTTAGAAGAGGTGTGTGCAGAAACCGCCTGGGAGGATCTCCACGCACTTGCATTCTGTCCAGCCATGGGTGACTGGTGTTCTGTCCTCACTTACCGGGGTTCCTATGGATTCCATGGAGTCCCCCCCTACACTCAGATTAGCAGGCTGGCATGAGAAGGCAGAGGGGTCCAAAACAGGCAGGGACTAGATAAAATTCTGGGTTCAGAGAAAAGCTCAGAGCTTTCAGAAATGATTAAGTTCCAGGACCAACAGTGAAACGGTGCTTAGGACCATGGATTCTGGTGGGTGCCGTAAGTGTTCCTGGACCCGGTAAGCCTGTTTAGTCAGCCAGGGTGGAGGTGTCCATGACAATCCACAATGCCCAGGTGCCACAGCAGATGAGCCAGGGTGCCATTTCTTGGGTGGTGGTGAAACCTGGGTCAAGGAATCACAATCACTATAGCTCAGACAATTCTGCCTCACAGGAGAAGTGAGTACTGGCCCCTTTTTCAAAATGCCCACCTTGGAGTTCCTCAGACAAAAAGTTTTTAAACCACCTCAAGTCTCCCTCAAATCCAAGAGGGCTTTCAATTTCAGAACATTCCAGAACTTCAGCACCTCCTGGCCTGCAATCCCCTTTCTTGTCTTCCAATGCCACTGACCTTGCTCCACAACTCAAAGGACTAAAGTAGTCACCCAGGTCTTCCCAGCTCAGATCCCTCAGTGATCCATTCATTCCGTGGCCCTTAGGACAAGGGTTACAAGACGCCCTTGGCCTGGCATCTGATGACCCCTGCCCCCCCAGTCACACTGCTCACCTTTCCCTTTCGAATACGTAAGGCTTCAACCCAGGCCCAAACCCAGTTGTTACTCTGCCTGTTCTGTCATTCTGGTGCTGTGGGATGTCTTTCTGTACACTGTGGACATGTGTTGCTCTGATTGGTTGATAAAGCTGCACTGGCCTATGGCAGGATAGTCAGGGAAGTCACCAGCTGCCCAAAGAGCAACCAGTAATGCCACAGCCACATAGCAACATATAGATTAATAGAAATGGGTTGTTGTAAGAGCTAGCTAGCAAGTTTGTAAGTAGTATAAGCCTCTGGCGTTTGTGACCGAGTGGCTGCAGGACATGGGAGAGGTTCGTCTTAACTGCTGGGCTGGGCGGGACCGGAGAAACTTCCGGGAACATTTTGGACTGTTCCTCTGCCTGGCATACTCTTCCCTCACCCCTGCACCTAACCCCTCTTCTGGCTCCAACTCCCCTAGCCTGTCTTGCTATCAAGCTGGGGGAGGCCCACTGGGTCCTGGCAGCACAATGACAATAACCAGCAGTGTAGCACAGACGCCGAACGTAAGCGCCTCCTAGTAAACCACGTGGTAGGCCGACAGACCAGGAGCCAAGGGTGACGACGGCACACGTCCAAATCCCAGGACTCAGGGAGAGGCAGGTCCACAAGTTCCAAGGTCAGGGAACCAGGGAAGTGAGACCCTGTTTCAAAAATTCAAACAACACACACATGAAGTCTCTTGTGACCTGACTTGTCTACACCAGGTCTCAGCAGGTCATGTGCACTATTAGACTTGGCCTCACAGCCTGACTAGATGTTTAGCTGCAGAAGCCAGAAGCCAGTGACCCTTGGGACAAAAGCTATCAAATGGATAGTAAACTGGCAGAGACTGGCCACAGCCCAGGGGCACCACTCAAGCAGGTGGAAGCCCTGGGCCTGCATCCTTGTTAGGAACCCAAGGTGGCCTTTAGTGGCCTCCTCTGACAAGTGTTAACCCTTGGGAGCAGTCTGCACCTGGAGCCTCGGCCCAACCTCTATGCTTACACAAAAGTACATTGCCGCCAAGCAGTGGTGGCGCACGCCTTTAATCTCAGCACTAGGGAGGCAGAGCCAGGTCAATCTCTGAGTTCCAGGCCAGCCTGGGCTACAGAGCGAGATCCAGGACAGGCACCGAAACTACACTCGAACCCCCACCCCACCAAAAAAAAAAAGTGCATTGCCATCATCAGAGACAAACCAGGAACTCTGCCCTTTTCTGCTCAGACTCCTGGAGATGTTAACAGATGACATGATACCATTCAAAGCAACCTGGAGAATAGCACCCAAGGAGAGCGTCCATCATAAACCAGCTCCTGCCTACAGACTACCAGGTAGGGAAGAGACAGTAGCTCCCGGGATGGCTTTCTAGGGCTGGAGGGCAACTGTGAGGAAGGCCTCCAGCTACGCAGATGAAGGGCCAGCACTAGGACTCCTCTTATGTTCAGGTGACAAGCTACACTTTCCTAAAGCCAGCTTCCTACATGGATGAGCTTGGATGCACCAGGGCTGGGTGTGTGGAATCCCTTGTTGCTGGCTGAGTGTCCACTGAGAAACTTCAGTGTGGCTGGAGGGTCCCATCACCCAGAGCAGCTCGAGGGAGAGCCAGTTAGGGAGGGTGCAGTCGCTGTTCTGCTCTTCGGAGGAGTTCAAAAGGTGCCGGGCTTCAGGACTCCTCCCTCAGCCTGGTGCCTCATTCAAGGCACCCGTGTCCCTTTCTTGCAGTAGCAAGATCCATCTCACTGGCCTACTTCCTGCATTGAGGTAGCAGCCTGGAGTAGCCATCGTGTGTGTGTGTGTGTGTGTGTGTGTGTGTGTGTGTGTGTGTGTGTGGTGGGAGGGGGCACGGGCCGAGGGTGTCACACCTGTGCTGGGGTTGGCAGCAGTGGAGGTCCGTCTTCCCCCCCCCCCCCAATCCTAGTCTGGGCAGGGTCAGAGTGAGAAGGCCTTCCCTGACAGAGGTGCAGGCAGCATTTCCCAAAGCCTCTCCAGGCAACAGGGGCTTCGGCAGCACCCTCCCTAGAGTGCAGGACTTCACCTGGGGGCGGAGGCCTCTGACAGTGACGACCACTGCCCTTAGGAAGTCTCAGCCCGGCTCTCCCATTTCCACAGCACCTCTAGGCAGGACTGTGCCTAGGAACCTCACCCAGCCCCACCCTGTGGTTTCCCAACTGCTCTGCCATGGTGAGATGACATTTCAAACTTCATCAAAAAGCTGGGTATGGTGCTCACACCTGTTACCCCAGCACTTGGGAAGCTGAGGCAGGAGGGTTGCTTCAAGTTTGAGGTCAGCCAGGGCCCTATAAGGTGAATAATGACCTGGAGCAGAAACACCATCCAAAGAGAAAACATCGCCGCAAGGCCTGCGACAAGCGCAGTTTTGTTTTTCTTTATTTGTCTACATTCAGCGGAACTCAAATGTACTGCCTGAATGATCCAGACATACCAAAACAAAACAACAAAACAAAACAAAAACAAAACGAACCACTCTTTCTCACTGGTTTTTAAAATAAAATTTTCACTTATAAAACTGAAACACTAAAGCATTAAAATAAAGCCAGCTCATTGAACTCACTTCACAAAAGCAGTAACAGATGCCGTGTCCCTTCTGCAACTCTGTAAGGATGCCCGATGGCACTCACACCGGGCAGAGACAGACAGAGGGATACCGCAAGGCAACAACTCCAACACTACTCAGACAAGGTGTAATGGCAACTAACAAACCACTGAAGACACGGAGTCCCGAACACAGCTAAACAGGGGTCACGGCACGGGTCTCAGGGACCACCACACTTCACAGCATGGCAACATCGGCAACGTGGACGGGTGGGCGCTGCGCCGGTGGACACGGCGACTGTGATGTGCAGACAATCTCCCGAGACGAGTTGGAGGCAGAGGTGCAGAAGGTGAGGGAGGGCGGGCAGCCTAGGCCTTTATCTGTACTGGTAGTTCATGCTGTGCTCTGTGTTCCGACTGTAGCCACCTTGTGAGGACTGGTAGGAGCTGGAAGGGCCGCTGTAGCTCTGGCTGGACCCAGAGGAGCTGTAGTTCGACTGTGATGAGTAGCCTCCTGCAAGATGGAGGGAGGGAGCTTAGCACAGAGGTCTGGGCGACAGTCACACACTACTGTCCCCAGGGTGGCAGTCCAGTGGGCTCTGCTTTGTCACACTGGCCTACCATTCACTACTACCCCAAGAGGTGGGGCAACTTTGCCTTTGGGGGCCGACGTCAAGTGCTGACTGACTGACCAGAGATAGGAGCCCCCAGGTCAGTTCAGTAGCTGCCAGCATTGAAGAGTGAGACGACTTGAGGTCTCTGGCCAGAGCCCCAGCCCAGCCCCCCCTCCCCCGGGAAGCAGCAGCAGCAGCAGCAGCAGCAGTCACTGGCACAGCCCCTGCCCCTGGGGAGCACTCGCTGTGGGGCCCACCTGGTTTGCCTTGGTATGAAGAGCCGCCGCCCCCGGCCCCTGCGCCGCCGTAACCCCCATGAGAGCCCGCGCTGTAGGAGGACCCACTGGAGCCATAGCTGTTCCCGCCACTGCGACCTCCACTACCACTGTAGTCTGGGGGAACAAAACAGCAGTGTGAGTGGGGACTGGGGCAGCTCAGACAGGCGAGGAGGAGCCTGGGTGGGGAGCCCTGTCACAGTCATCCTGCCCCGGTCAGGCTTATCACCCACTCTGAAGTCCACCTGTCTCACTCCCAACTGCCTCTTCTCCCCCGGACACAAGGCTCTCATCTGCCCCCATCCCACAGCTTATTCAGCCCCCAATCCTTGTGATGACTGCTCTGCTGTCAGGAGGACAAACTCACACCTACTCAACCCTGCTGGGCGACTGCACATGAAGCCCGGAGGCCAGTGCATGGGGCTGGTTCACTGAGGAGCTGGACGGAATGCAGCCCTTGACAAGTCCCAGGAGGCAGCCTTGCAGCGTCTGCCCTGGTGCCTAGCCACAGCATGGGGGCAGAGACCCCCGTCCAGGTTTCTCCCTACACTCACTCTCCCAGAGCGCCGCCCAGCTCCTGGCTAGCGCCGGGCTTGCGGCCGTCATCCCCAAGCAGGAAGTGGGCGCTGAAAGCCAACTCACTGAACTTGCTGTCGTAGCTGTAGTCGGAGCCCCCCCCAGCACCAGGGGAGCTGTAGGAGTTGGAGTAGGAGGAGTAGCTGCCCTGCCCATGGCCGAAGCCTTTCTGCTTGCCCTGCGGCGTGCCGTAGCTGCTGTACTGGCTCTGGTTGTAGGGTTGCTGCTGGCCCTGGTGGGACTGGTAACCCGAGCTGTAGGAGGGTTTCTGCTGGCCCCCATGCAGCGGCTTCTTCCCAGCATGTTTCGGGGGCACTGGTGAGTTGTAGCTGTCTCCTTGGTAGTAGGAGCTGTAGCTGGAGGAGCCACCACCGCCCCCGCTGCCTCCACCACCGGCATTCCCAGAATGCCCTCCATTGCTGTAGAACTGACCTAAACAGGGAAGCAGCAGGTCAGGTGGAGGGTCCCCGAGGGAGGGAGGGAGGGCTGGGAGGGGGAAGGCAGCAGTCGTGGGCCCTGAAGGCTGGCCCACAGCTTACTGCTCAGAGCAGCGAGGACAGGCGGGAGCACGAGGCTCTGCTGGTCGAGGCAGCCTGGCTTAAGCCAGCCCAGCCTTCAGCTCCACTCACCCTCGGCTGATGACAAGGGGTCTTTGCCAAGCAGCAGCACGACAGCAGCTTTGCAGATGTCAACATTACAATGAGATGGGCTCCGAGCGTGGATGACATTCACGACTAGCTGACGGCTACCCAGATGTCCCCAACGGTGACAGGAAAAGCAAAGCACCCAGAAGCAGTGAGCCCCCCCCCCCCTCCGTGCAGGAAATGAGCTCAACAGGCACAAGCCTTGGGGACCCCAGGAGATGCCTTGCCATGAGGTTTCTAAGACCACCATGGTCTTCAAAGACCAACTGCTCTTCAGACAGTGACTCGAGACTCAAGACACTTGCCCGGCCTCCCTCCTTAGTGTGAAAAACACAACTGAAGGCATAGAGTGGGCCCCCGTCTCCTGGGAAGGCAAGCCCAGGCTGAGATGAGGTTCAGTGTCTGAACGGGGCCTCAGTGGCAGGACTGGTGAGCTGGCACTGTGGTCGCTCTGGTCTCTGGCCCCCCACTTCTCACCACTGGGTTTATCAGCATGCTCCCTAGTGGAGACGTGGGAGGAGCTGACAGGAGCAGGAAGACAACAGGGCTGGGCCAAGGCATCACTTCAGTCCCACTACAGAAGGGAGGAGTTCCCACCTCCAGGCTCAGGGGAAGCCAGGATATTTTCCAGTGCTCAACAGGGGCCTTGGAGCTCCCAGAAGCCTGGATTCCCAAAGTAGCCCCAGCATGCAGACCTTTAGCCCAGTGAACCCCATTAGGCCCCAGTCAGGCAGAAGGGAGAAGAGTGCTCTCACACAGCCTGACCTTGCTTCCCTGGTTGAGAACTAAGGGCACCATGCCTTCCCTCTACCCGCTGGTGGGTCCACAGCCCACGCCCATGCTGATGCTCCCCCAGCTGCTGGCACAAGCACTAGCAGAGGCAATGCCCCTGTGCAAGCCTGTCTTCAGACAGATCTCTCCCACCCCATCACACAGCTACAACACTACAGAGGAGGAAGGGTCCCACAATGCAAGAAAGCAAACACATGGAGGCTCAGTGAGGATACTGGGAAGCCCAGGGCTCCAGATCACCCCAACCCCAACCCCAGCACCTCCTCCAGGCCCCTGCCTTGGCTTCCCCAGGGTCCTATGCTGAGCGACTGAGCTGCCTGCCTGAAGCCGGGCATGAATGAAGACGCCAGGACGGAGGGCTTATTACTTTAACATGTATTCATTTAAAAAATAATAATAGTAATAAGGAAAAGGTAGGTTTTCAACGTCATTCAGAACTATTTCCTGGTATAAAAAGACATTATTCGCAAACAGTAACTTTCTAAAAAATAAAAATAAAATAAAACACATCATGCAAAGTCTTAGAAAGTTTCACTGACTTTTCAAACCTTGGGGAACAAGTCACACGATAACCATTTTGGCCACTTTTTTGTCTGAATAAACATCAAATCTTGCAAGTCAAAGCAGGGGCAGATCTGCAGCAAAGACTACAGGATCCCCACCAGAAAGAAGGGGCCTTGTACTTTACACATGGCGACAAACTTCTAGGTGCCTGGCAGTGTAGACCCTGGTGGGGTCAAAGCCAGCTCTTTGCTAAAGGGGGTGGGGGGTGGAGGGTGGGGGACTGGGAATGTGCGGGCCTCTTCCAGCTCAGTTTTAAAGGCCCACTGTGAAAAAGACAAACCCAAACCCAATCCAGAAGTCCATGCATTAACAGCTGTGATCGGGACTTGCAAAATTTCACGTTATTCTCTCCTTTCAAGCCTGTCTTACTTCTCACACAGGTAACGGAAGCACAGTTTTGATGCCTTTGCAAATTCACGCTCTTAACTAAAGCAGCCACAGAATCCCCTTTAAGCCCAGGACCCACCAGAGCATTTACAAAAGGTGGGAGGCCCTGCTCTACGCAAGTCCTGCCATCCCAGGTTACATGCTCCTTAAAAAGGCAAGAAAAAGTCAGTTGCTCTGGATTCTCATGTACTGAAACCGTTTTCATCACTGCCAAAGGCATCAATCAGATGTGGGAATTTGTGAAAAGGTGAAAAATGCATACAAAACCTGCTGTAAATTAAGACAAAGGTAGATTAAAACGTGCCATTATCTGTCTCTTCAAATAAAGGAATGCTTTCCATACAAAGCAAAGATGGGCTTTTGCCTTGATGCTGAACAACGCTGGCTCTAGAATTCTGAATTCTGTGCGAGGCTGCACAAAAATAAAAATGAGAAAAAAAATCTGAGAAAAGGGTTTTTCCACTTAGTGTGTACTTCGAAATGACCAAGTTCAAAGGCAAATTCATGATAGAACCTGCCATTGTCTTAAGTCTGCAGGCTAACAGTTTCAGACAAGCTGCGGTGGAAAGCCACGGTTGAGAACCCCAGAGAAGCACAGGGACACAGCACGGACACTTTGGGTTTTGGAGTTGGAGGAAATTGGAGTAAAAAGTTGATTTTGTGTCAATACTTTTAGACGCTCTAGGAAGCCCCAAAATCATGATAGCCGTAGCAGTCTGTGAAAAAGTCACCTACAAAAGGGGGAGACAGAGCAGAGAGAAGAAATTAGAATTCTTTTGAAAAAGGGCACAGAGCGCCACATTTGAAATTCAGGTTTTAGATTTCTCTGCTCGTGTGACCCCCCAATGAAGGCTCCTTCTCAAGACAAAGAGCAGTGCACGGGCAGGAAGGCGCATTCTCAAAGACTGGTGCTTAAAGCAGAGAAATTTAAAAAGCCGACTTCAAAGGAACTTAGGCGGTACTCAAGGGTGTGTTAGCATTAAAACTGTGACAGTTTGGACACACTTTGGGGACAGGGACTTGAGGGCCGGGGCTAACCTAATCACCGCAAAAAGGTACGGCTGGTGGCCCTGAACCTCAGAGATGCTGAGGCCAGCAACCTACCCTAACTCAGACCCAGACTACGCTGCCGCCGCCGCCGCTGCCGCCGCAGCCTCCCAAGTGCAGACAGAGAGAACGCACACTTACTGTAGCCTGCCGTGGCCGAATTGCTGCCGTACCCATAGCTTCCATATCCGGCACCTGCAAGACAGCAGACAGGTTGCAGGGTAGATATGCACCCATCTACCCCTTCCTTCCGAGGAGAGGGACACAGTCATCCCTGGAGTGTGCCATACATAGGTGACAGGAAGGAGGAGACCCTCACCAGCGTTCATGTAGCCTCCTCCATGGTTGGCGCCACCAAATCCTCGCCCTCGTCCTCGCCCACGGATGTTCCCTCCTCGCCCCCGGCCTCGA